CGAACACGCGAGCCAAATGATGACAGGCTCGTTGATAGGCAACCCACACTGCTGGCCTATGAGAGCCATAGCTTCTATTGCGATAACAGTGTACGCTTTAGGAGTCATTATACTAATAAGCGTGAAAACAATAAATCATGTTGTTACTAGAAGGGGCTCCACAACCCCAGCTCAAAAAATTGTGTTCATGAACACATTCAATCCGAGACCACTGAATGTTTCCACAACAGTTACAACAATGCTAGTAATACTAGCTGCGCTGATCAGTTCACAAGCCTGCCAGCACGGGCACATGAGACATTTAGGAAACATGATTTATAATAACCAAGGAAACTGTTTCTACGAATATAATGAAGAGGTGCTATTCAGTCACATCCAATCGGAACTTGGCATCAGTGCCAGATGTGGGAACAAGACAGTTGGGGTGATAAAAATCCGACAAAAACCCCTAAAGCTTGTATGCTCCAAAGTGCTGCAGTTCTTTACAAGAGGGACCAGGCACAAAATATTTTACACAGCAAGGTGTGCAGAAGCAGGATCGTGCACAGAAAACCGATGCAACAACTTGAAACCTCATGAGCACATAGAGGAGTTACAAGAAGCTGGTCAATACCCAGGATGTTCCGCGTGCGAACATACATACGGTGCCCCATTATGCGGATGTTTTCTTCCGTTGGAGGCATGTTCCTTTATAAGGGTGGTACAAACACCCACCTCGGAATCTGTGTTTGAAAACGTGAACTGCGTAGAGTGGGTTCCAATAGTTGAATTCGAGGTTGAATTCAAAGTTTGTAAACTAGAACAGAACAGAAAATTCCCTCTGATTCTATACATCACTCAATCATACGATGAAATTTCACTCACGGCGATTTCAACACAAAAGCCTAGCTCACCGCTTTCGACCAAAGATTCGCCATCTCAGAGAAAGAAGCGTTTATATGTAGTTCCCAACAACTTTGAGCTACCTGTACAATGCCCAACGGCAAACATGACACCGAAAAGCTTCGTTAATTGCAGCAATCAAATGATGCGCAACTGCAAAAGCTACAAAATACCACATACATGCCATTGCCCGAAACACTCAATGAAGGATATTCGAGCAGAAGTGGAAAACAAACTGCCTATAACTACGCCTTCAGTAGAGATTGGCTTTGAAAATAAGCAGATAAATGCGCACTCAAAAAAGAGTGAAATTACTCTCGCTATCAGATCAAGCCTACTAATCAATAGCGCAGAGTTCATAGTTGAACAACAATGTTCCGTGGAATTAAACACTGTAACCGGACTGCTATAACTGCCAAGAAAAGAGCAGAAGTCGCAGCATCCTGCACAACAGCACTAGAATCTGTCGTGACCATCCAATGCGAAAACATAGCATTCGCTGCAAACTGCGATCTTTCAACAAAACCACTAGGATCGCACTCGAACTTAATTAATCTCTTATCGCGCAGAAATGCTTCGCAATATGCGATAAAAAAGAGATAACATTGGAATTAAAAGGCCGGCTCTACTACCATGTGCGATATTTCCCTCCCACCATGCTGGATGAGGACGACGTTAAGGCCACCACATCACCACATGGCCCTCATTCCATAAATTCCAATTCCCTGACTTGGAACCAATCGCACGCATTGTCAAAGAGAATTGGAAGATAACAGGGACAGCATTGGCTGTGATTACAGGAGCACTAGGGATAACCTACATACTCGGGCCACTTGTTATAATAACAATATTGAAAGTCGTTCACGCTACAATAATGATCGTAGTGAATATAGCCAATAATATGAAGAATAGAATCACCCAGTGGTCACAGAGAATACAGTAATTAGCGGACTCCACTACTCCGGTATCAGCTCGAATATTGCGTTGCGGAACGTCGTGCAAGACCTCCACTCGACAACAATCCGCGTCACACTAACAAGCGATGGAAAGATGGGATCTACTGGAGCTCCTTCTACTTCACTATGACTGGTTTTCTGGAACTTAGACCTCACATGTAAAGGGGGCGCGCGGAATGTTTCGCTCTGCGCGACCGTTTAACCTTCGATAACCTTTGACCACCGCTGTAACCATTGATAAAGCTGTACACTATTTGCCCCTCTGTGACCCGTGATAACCATGTACAGGATTTCTTAACGATGTGACCTTTACTAATCATATAGACTATTTGCAACCTCTTGATCCTTGATAAACCACTTGTTTGTCATCCGTATCGGCTGGGTATAAATACCCGTTGCACCGCCGATACGGGGCTTCCTGTGCTTTCAATAAATCTGCACCTGCACAAAGCCACTGTGAGCATACACACCACCCGAGCAAAGGGTAAGGGCTGGCGAGCCATTAACCAAAAAACTCTTGTTCCCAAACCGGGACAGAGGTAGACTCTTACCCACCCTACTCCTCCTCACTCGGAATGTAGCGGAGAATGTCACATAAACAACATTTATACATCTTTGTATTCGCTTCGTAGAGATATAATTTGCTCTAGTGACAGTTCACGAAAGCCCATTGAAATATTCGCGCGCGGGAAAGTAATTCAAGCAGCAGCCGGTGGCGAGATTTAATTGCGCTCCTCTATATGCCACCCAGAAAACCATTGATAACCATGTAGACTATTTGCCACCCCATGACCTTTGATAATATCCATTGTTGGTCACGCCGTATCGGCTGGGTAAATACCCGTTGCACCGCCGATACGGGGCTTTTTGTGCTCTACAACAAATTTGCATATGGCCACTGTGAACATGCTACGCACAGCCCGAGAAAAGGTAAAGGCTAGTGAGCCACAAAACCGAAAAACTCTTGTTCCAAAACGGGTACAATTTTTGGTGCATTGGCTAAACCAGCCATATTTCCCCGCTTCATCGGATAACTCCAAACCACCGTTTAAGGGCAAGGCCTTAAATAAGCCTGTTCGTTCGGCAAGACCCGCTGGAACCAGGAACTACTATTGTTCAAAACAACAGTGTCAACCGGTCTTTGGCAAAATCCGAAGACTTGGAACCAATTTGAGAAAAAAGACAATAAACAAAGGAAAAGTCCGAAATGTCGCTGATTTTCCACAAAAATCCGATATGATACAGCGTAAGAACTCTTGGCATTCTGCTAGACAAGTACAGCTCATATGCAGGGGAAGTAAACCCTGCAGGCGATGACCGCACACAGTACGAAGAGTACTCTACTGCAGTAAACCTGATAGCTGGCGGAATAAAATTCATAAAATCTAGCAGGGATTTTTCTGCAGTCTGTCTTCGACAGACTAGAAATAGAATTCGACGAAAAAACTAAAGGACTTCATAAATGATATGGAAGATATCGATTCAGAGTTCGCGGAAAAATACCCCGTTTACGAAATGATCTACGTGTTGGAGGCACAACTGAAAGGAGATCATTTTTAGTTGGTCATCACATTTTTTGGTTTTACGACTAACTTTCTTAGAGTTGTTCCTCATCCTTCTTCTGATAACTGTTAGGCTAAAATATGGATGATTACCTTTATAAGTAAGGGCGAGCTATATTATTAGAAATGTTGCCATATGTTATGTTATGTTTATTACGCTGCTAAGGCAAACGTAGTATAAAATGATAACCACCTTCTGAAACTAAACTAAATAATGGAGCAAATACAAGGAACACACATAGATAAAACGTACTCGTATAAAGAGAGCCACGTAAAGTAAGGCAAATGACTCCTAGGTTAGATATAAAACAAGGGTGAAGAAGAAATGGTAAACCGCAAGGAACTATGAAAGCTTATACTTAGATAAAATTACTTCCATAGAGCGTTTGAACTTAGTCAAAGAATCGGGAGCGATCACGTTTTTTGTTACCTTTTTGTAAAGGCTAGCCGCTCTGAATGCGGAACTTCTGGCTCTTATACTGGTTCTGGGTCTAGGGAGATTTATTTTAGTCTGACCTCCTCTGATCCTGGAGTGAGCTATATTATAAAAATCAAAAGAACCAAATTTATTACTATGGTACAATAGCTTGTAAACCATGCACACGTCGAATACTTTGCGCCGTGATTCCAAAGTAGAGACTTCAAAGTATATGTTGCGAATAGATGCTTTAGGAATTCTAAAGTAGAAAAAACTCCTACATCGGCAAAGGATTTTACGCGTAAAATTGTTTTGCACCTTCTCAAGTGCTTCAACATCCCTTCTCCTAGATGGGTTGAACACAGCAGCACCACTCTCAACCAAGGGCCGAAGGTATGTTTTATAAGCTTTGAGAAGTATGGACTTATTGGTGGAAGACAACATATGTTTTAATGTTGTCGTTGTTACCAAAGGGGAAAACCGTTACTACAAGTTTAATCCAGAATGCTTCTTTATCCTGGAAAACATGCTTATCTCGGTTTTCTTCCAGGTTATCCGAAATACTAAAAGTGACTTATTTACTGTTGCAAACTTTATTGAAATGTTTATATAAACAGTTGCGAGTGCTTCCTTTGTTGATATTATACAAAGGTTCTCCAATTCTTTCGTTAAAATTTTTTGTTGTTAATCCGACGTATTGCATGCTACATTTATTACAAGTGATACAGTAAATAGCGTTAGAACTACTGCAATTAGCTGCGTTATCTACATAAGGATTAATTTTGAGATCAGTAACGTGTGCTATTATGAAACTGTTCCTATCAAGCAAAGAACACTTTCTACAGTTTTTGTTTCATACTTTAGGCTTGTTATTATTCCCGAAGTCTTCTAAAACATAGCTTCCGTTCACCTTAGATTTATAAAAGACTTTATTGCAATAAAAGTAATTTTGCAGTTTGTCTGTTATGCTGGTAGGCCATACGGGACGTATGTGGGGGCCCAACCCATACACCAGGGAAAGTTTAAAGGGATTCGCCCTAGGCACTTGCAAGCCTGTGATGAACTAGGTTATAAAGGTATACATTGTAAGGGTCTAGCGGGGTACGGTAATGGGTTCAGTAAGATCGATGTTGGGAGAGGCGGTAGCCGATGGAATTCCTAGATGAAAGCACTGATTACAGGCTGCGCGGAGAACGAGGCGATGCGCTGGTATTCGAGGCAGACGACAGAACGAGGAACGGCGGCTCGCACCCATGGCCTCTGGTTCAGGACGTCTTCCGCTCCCGGCTGCTGCCCCGTCGAACGACTCCATGGACTGTATTCGACTGCTTATTCGTGCCATCTACTGTGACTCATTTCCGCCTATTCGTTATTCTGTATTTACGACATGTAATTGTGCTATACTTGTTAATAAATTCTTATAAGTCATTCACGTCCTCACACTGGTAGCAGCGAGTGGTTCCACTCCTGCGAGCATGGTGAGTTTTTCGAAGCTTTGTTTGTTTCTTTTTCTTCTTTGAACTCGCGAGTAACTTTCTTCCTGTGAGAATACTCCTCATTTCTTTTGAACAGCGCATTTCTCTTTCTTCTTTCTCTCTCCTACTCTTTTCTTTTTTTGATTACCTCGAGGCTAAAATTCGATGAAGATGACGGTGTAATAAGTCAAGTTCGTATGAGTGAAATTAAATATGAGTTAGCGTTCAACGCCCAAAGAGTTTAAATCGGTCTTTGTGTCGACATAGGTGATTTTTGTCAAGAGGTGTCGCCAGCAAGAGGCCAGAGGGCCTATAGCTTCAAGCAATTCGTCGTTGAATTTACCTTTTTTTTATTTGCTCCTTTTGCTTGTATTTTCATATTATCTGAATTCGGCTTGCATGGTATTCATCATCGTAGGCTAGGTTGCTTTCTCCTTCAAGAATATGTCATTGGTGTTTTCGAAACTGCAGATTATTTTTGTTTCTTTGAGTTGCGAGGTATTCCAACTCAGGTTTATTGCGGAGCTCTCTTTCGCAACCGTTTGAGTTTCTTTTTGCCTTCTTTCTCTTTCTTTTCTTCGATTTGATGTTTTCATGCCTTCGCATCTTTAGTCTCCCATGCCTGATCTGGTTCTTACAGTTTCCCATCGCATTCCACGGCGGCTCCGTCATCTCATTGCGCATCTTGACGGAGCTCGCCGGTTGTTCTCGTATAACGGTACGTTCCCAGCATGTTGCACAAACATCTGCCGCTCCGCGCTTCTTCCCATAGATATCGGAAAAGTTCATCACCCATCTCCTAGCCTACCAATAAAAAATGGGGGGCTAAACATTTCTTCCACTCAGACGCCAATTGTGTGCAGGCATGCCGATCACCCGTAGCGCAGGTAAAGCTTCTGCTGCATCCTCAGCTATTGCCCCAGTATCAGGCTCTAAGGTAGAAAGAGAAGGCGAGTTCTTCGGTTTTGATCTGTCCTTCATGGATTCCTTAGATGACTGTGCTCCGCTCCAAACCCGCGATGCTAAGGCCTTGAGGGACGCGACTTCCTCAGCAATTGCGCAAGTGTGGGCCGATACCATGGCCACCACAGCGTTGCTTTCGCAAAAGATTGACGAGAAAAATTTGGTTCTCACGGATAAACTGAAAGAGTCCTCCGCTGCGGTGGGGAAGCGATTGGACTCTCTACCCACGAACGCTATGCTTCAGCAAGATATCGGGGTATCGAAGGTAACATCGTTTTCGGGGTCTGCCGACACGGAAGCTCAGTTCTCGGTATGGATCCGTCGACTCGAGGACGTTTTGCGCATGCGATCAGTACCGCTTACGAATGAACAGCAGGCCAACTTTTTAATCGGTCATCTGGATGGAGTGGCCAGGGAAAAGGTAGAGGAACTCGGCGAAGAGGACCGCAAGGATTATGCAATCATTGTTGCTCATCTCACGCCGTTCTTCGAGAGTCCACAACAGAGGTATGTGGCGCGCCAGAAACTCTCAGTATGCAGGCAAGAACCCGGCGACTAATGTACGGCTTTCGCAAACCGTGCCCTCCATCAGGTCCGCTACGCAACCTCCGGCCAGGATATGGCCTCTCAGAAGGAGAGAGTTCTCGAGGAATTTGTTGCCCGGCTCCGGGGGGACATCCGCTACTTCGTTGGATTGGATAACCCCACCTCTTTCGAACAAGCGGTCGCTAAGGTTCAAATGGTGGAACAACTTCTGGCCGAGGCCTCAGCGGAGAGCTTGATCAATCCCGGCTCTTCGGGATCCCCTTCAGTTCGGGTAGCGGCCGGTATACCGATGGATCAGCATATAGTCCAGGGACGTAATCGTTCACCTCCGCCACGAGTACGTTTCCGGTCACCTCCGTCGAGGACGGCATATCAGCAGCAACCCCGACGCTCGGCAGCAAGGACTCCAGGACGCGTACAAATACGGCCCGCTAGACCCACACTGCAGTGTCACAATTGTTGGGAAGAAGTCCATTTTTCCTGGGAATGCCCCTCTCCACGGTTTTCAGCATTTCCCTCAGGGCAGAATCGTCAGACGAGTAATCCGACATTCTCACGTCCAAATCGGCAGGCATACGGTGGGCGAGGTGCGCGGGCCCGCATCACAGCGCTTTAACGCCGTAACGATGAGCTCCCTAACACCTCTTTTAATCAAACTTCTACTTCTCGCGCAGCTTCACCATCATTTCTTCCTCATGTGCGATACCTATTTTTCACCGTTGCCGTGTGTGTTCTTTTCGAATCTTCGCTCGCTACGGATGCTTGGTTATGTCCCGATACCCAACCATCCAATCTCTTCCGTATCCCGGAGGCCTACAATTGTTCGCGGCTTTTGCCCAACATATCGACTTCCATTAACCGTAGTACATTACGACTTTTTCGTCCGAACACTAGGACTTATTCATCCTTGGCTTCACTTTGCAAAATCATTCGCCATTCAGTAGTTTTCTCAGTGAACTTCTTCGGCGCCCACCGCGAGTCCCATTCTGAGACCCACCTCCCAGTATCGGTAGAGGAATGCAAGCAAATGTCTCTCCATCAAAGATGCTCGCTCGCTGATGCTCGGACATGTCCGAATCCCACGGTGTATGGCGTACATCGAACCCGTTGTCTTACGAATTTTCTTCGGCCCCCTTTGGATGCTGCGTGGAACATTCCATGGTGGTCACCAACTGTTACCTCATGAGTACGGTGGTTCAGACTCGCCACTCTGATAGCAACTTGCATTCACCCGTGGGTGATACATCAGCCTGCAGATATAAAGACGGCGCATGCACCTTGTCGGATGGGTCCGCTCTCATCTGGGCCCCAGAACAGGAAGAAAGCTGCGCTTATGTCTACGTTGCGCGCTTGGCAGGACTTTTCGTAAGTAACATTTGGCTAAGTGATAACAACGAGTTTGCCTTGTCGTGGAGTTCTACCTCTCCCACAATCTTTGATTGCCTCAAACAGTTAACAGTCACAGACCAGGGATACGCCTTTCAAGTCACCGCAACGCGCACTCGCCGTCACACGTTCGACGGCGTTGGTGTGGTTACCTCGAATCAGCTCGCCGCTCAACTTTTGGCAGTAGAAGGAGCCATGCAATTCAACTCCTTGGCATTAATATATATATATAACTTTGCGAGCGCACCAATTCGCTCTCTCTGATGTTGCAAGTGGCTCTCCGGTCGGAACCTACTGTAGCGATGCGGGCGCTTCTTCGCCGCACTGATACATCAGCGCTTCATGTCGATTCAGGCTTTGTCCTGGTTCGACGCTGCATCAAACTACCGGCTGAGGCAGTTCATTTTCTCCCCTTTAATAATACATGTTATGCATACTCGCGCATAGAGCTGCATCTTCCTAGCGGTTCTATTTGGCATGCTTTCTTGAACCCATCCACAGGGGTCATACAGAAGCATGCATCCGTTATTGATTGTTCTGAGGCAGCCCCATTCTTGTTTTCTTCTAAAGACGGCATACGATCTTTTTCGCCTCTCAATGGTTCACGGCACAGGGTTGAATCCGAAGAAGTCCGCCAGATTTTATACTTGCCGCAGCTCATACCATCCGATGTTCCTCCTCCTCTCACTATTTTTCATAACCTAGTTATCACGAATTTTAGTGAAGTCGCAAATCAATTATCCCTTCAGGAACTGTGGACGGCGTTGGATCACGCACTCTAACGGAGCGCTTCACACGTATCGACTCAAGCGCAAGCAAGACCAGGGGATCATATTCGACCTCGGGACATTCGGTGAGTTTCATCTTTCCTTCTTTCTTATAGTCATTTTCGTTTTTCGATTGTTGGGTCACTTTGTGCTGCACGTTCATTCATTTTCAATTATACGATGTATTCTCATGATTTATATTTGATTGAATTACCCTCAACTGTGGTCTCGTTTGCCCTACTATCTTTCTTCACTTACTCCGGTATCCTCCTCGGCCCGCCCTCTCTCAAGTCAAGACTCGGGGTTACACTCCACACCGACGGGACCCCCTTCGAATGTGAATGTCAATCTTAGAAGTACCCCGGGACACCCCCCCCCCCATTCCCTTGGACATCTCTCAAGTGGAAATCGACGTGGATCAGGTGTGGCAGGCTCGAGCTTCTCTCATCCGTATGCAGGTCCTTTCAGTAACCAGTTCTTTGTCTCACAAGTACCGGTTCTGGTGAGCGGAATCCAGATGCTTGCTCTGATTGATACTTGAGCGGGAATCACGGTAGATAGTCAATCGATCTTTCCCTTCATCAACATATTTTCCTTGCAATCTTCCCTCGTGCCAGCAGCCTTAGGTATGGCG